TGGGCATATCCCAAATGTTGACACTGGGATGGCATGGTCTATTTGAGGAACATCTGCGGGGAGAATGTAGGGGTGAAGGTAGGGTGGTGATCTGCTGTGTGACTTTGTACAGCTGTGGCAAGGGCTCAACCATGTCATGTATTTTCAAGTACAGCACACTTACGGTCTTGCCAGGGCCTGGCACCTGAGAGGTCCAGGTGAGTTTCAGTACCCAGTATGTGCTGGTCCTGGAGAAGGAGCTTGGAGTGACTGGAAGACTTGGCTGTTGCCTTCCATGGTTGTGACAAAAACTGACATGGGCTTGAATGATGAAAGTCTTGTGGAGACCGGCTCAGATTTAATCTGTATTTTCTTGGGTCTCCTGGCCTCTGTAGTCTAATAAGGAGCTTTTGAAATCCAGGGAGTGACCAATTTCTTTGCTCCAGTATTGATTTGGAGGGCTCTGCCAACACCATACCCACCTGGAGGCATAGGATTGCAGCCCAAGGTCCAAGCATCTGCTGAAGCCTGGCCTCCCGTATCTCACCATAAACTTGCCCATCCTCCTTACCTGCCTCTCAGCACACATACTTTATTCACCACTGGTGACATCTCAGCCCTTGCTGGGGCCCAGAGACCATCAGTAAGGGTGGTGCAGGAGGAAGGGTTTTCCCTTCCCTCAGCTGGATCACATACTTGTTCCCAATGCCGACACCTTGGGTTTAGTCAGTCTGCTCCTTGTAGTTTCCTGTGCTGGCTCAGGAGTCCATTCCTTGTCCTTCTCAGTGACTGACACTGGGTCTGCTGGATCATTTCAGTTACCACAGAAAAGCTGATGATTCACAAATCTCATGCAGTTCTACCTCAATTCTTGCAACTCAGGCATTTGGAAGGTCTGAAAGGGTGCTAATTTGTAAGGGCCAGTAGCCAGTACCTTTTGTAAGACTTCCCTAATGGGTGGATTCACTCAGGTCTCCTATATGCCTGATTGCACTCCTGTGCTTCGGCCCTGTCCACTCCACCCAAGCCATGCCAGTCCCTGTGCTGTTCCTCAAATACGCTGTGCTATACACATACTATTCCCCAAATATCACCACTACCAGCCACCATTCAGATCTTTACTCAAAAGTGACCTCATTTCTACCGTGATAATCCATCTACCGTGTATCTTCTTTTTCCTTAGCACTTCTCACATTCTATCCAACAAAAAAATACTAGAATATGAGCTCCACAAAGGCAGGGACTTCGGTCTCTTTTGTTGTCCTGGTCTCTGTCACACAGCGTCTGGCACACAGCAGGTGCTCAGTATTTACTAAATGAATAATAATTTCAGTATACTCAAAGAAGTAAGACCACACTAACCATCAGACTGGGAAAGTCTGGGTGTGTGGCTGACGTGTGTTCTAGATGGTTCTTCCCACCACCAAGAATAGGGATGTGCCTCTTTACAACTGAATCTTGGGAGGCAAAAACTCCAGTGCAACATAAGTGAAGGAGGGGCTTTGGGCACAGCTCAGTGCCCCATTGTCTAGCATGCATGAGGCCATGGGTTCAACCCTCAGTTACACACACACACACACACACCTGGCAAAAGTAGGAACTCAAGTGCTCCATTTGCAATTACAAAAAGGGGGATTTAAGCAGCTTACATGAAAGGATATTGTAGCAAGACAGCCAAGACATTCCACATGGCTCCTCTAGGTCACAGCCTGCAGCCCCTTCCCAACTACCACTCCAGCCTAGCACCAAGTTGGGGTGACCATACCAATCACCTTCTGCTTCCACCCTTGTTCTGAACATAGGAGCCAGAGTGATCCTGTAGTCAGATCATGTTAGTCCTTGATCCCAATGTATCAATGGCTTCCCCCTATACCCAAGTAAAAGCCTGAATTCATAAAAGGTCCTGTAAAATCTGTCCTCCCACCACCTCACCTTACTCCTTCCCTCTAGCACACACCATTCCAGGCCCCTCTGGCCTTCTGGTATCTCTTAAAAACCAGGCTGGCTCCCATTTCAAGGCCTTTACACTTGGAGTTTGCTCTTCCCAAAATGACCCCAGATACCTAGCTAGACCACCCCATCATGGGGCCCAATTACACCATTCTGGATAACAAGAGCCCAAGATTTCCTTACTATGTTGTCTGAATAGGGCTGTATCATTCCATGATGCATTAGTTTTTCCTTCCCACCAAACTGTACTTAGTCTGGCACACAAATGTTTTCAAGTTATTTGCTCACATAATTGTGGTCTCCTCTCCAGTGCTATGGATCAATCCCAGAGCTTTGTGCATGCCAGGCAAACACTCTACCACTGGGTTACATCCCCAACCTGATTGTAGTCTTAAATTCAAAGTTTCTGATGGCTGGGCATGATGAAGCAAGTCTATAATCCCTGCCTTTGGGAGAAAGAGGCAGGAGGATCGTGAGTTTTGAGGCTAGCCTGAGTTACACACAAAGTTCAAAGCCAGAATGAGTCACACAATGAGACCCTTTCAAAAATAAGAACAAAAAAAGTTTTTGGTTACCAATTTGGGTGTAAGTTTTGCATTACAAGTTCTTGGTAATTTTCTTTATATAGTCTCTAAAGACAGAAGTTCAGACCCTTAAGTAGCACTTAGTACGTTTTCCATTAATGAAGATCTAGTACTTAACACAGTCAAAGTTACACAAAGCACTTATGTACAAAATTCAAGAATTGATGGAAAAGACCAAGTGTAGGGGAGGGGTGACTCAAGAGGTAGAGTGCCTGCCTAGCAAGCATGAGGCCTTGAGTTTAAACCCTAGTACTGCCAAAAATCAAAACAAAAACCTCACTTCATCCACTGAAACCCCATTTAAGCTGAGTGCCATTGGCTCATGCCGGTAATCCTAGCTATGCAGGAGACGGAGATCAGGAAGATCATAGTTCGAAGCCAGCCTGAGCAAATAGTTCTCGAGACCCTATCTCGAAAAATAACCAACCAAAAAAGGACTTGCAGAGTAGTTCAATTAGTAGAGCACCTACCTAGCAAGAGTGAGGTCCTGAGTTCAAATCCTAGTTACCCCCCCCCGAAAAAAAAGATCAAGTGTAGGAAAACCTAGGGAGGGGAATACTATATAAAAGATAAGGGGTGACAGTGAGCATATAAAGTACAAGAACAAAACCGTGACATCATTGGTACTAAAACCATTGAATTCATCCCAGGCATTCTGCTCCTATCCCAAACAGAGTTAGAATTTACTAGCAGTCCTTAGACCTCAGCAAAGGGTCAACTCAGATAAAGGCGGTAAATACACACAACACAGACTCTGCCTTGGATTCAGAGATCAACCCTGCTGGGGTAATGTCACCTTATTCAAGGTTTTGACCTACTTGATCCTGCCCCCTGCATGTCTCCCAACATTAGGGTGCACAGTGCCACTCTTTCCTTGCTTGGTTGGCCTATCTAGTCTTTTCCTTATTGGTCAATATCTCAGGAACTCACAAGTCTCCTTTGACCTTCCCTATGCCTTTGACAGCCATATACGGTAAGTGACAATTCACATAGTAAAAAGCTAATTGCTGCCATATGTAAGCAAGACCACAGAGGCAACTAGAGCAGACCAGGCAGGCACAAGCCATTGTGAGGCTACAAAAATGGACAAGGAATGGCTGCAAATGAAGCTTCTGAGGAAACACCAGCAAAAACTGATAATGCTCTGGAGTGGAGCAGGAAGAAGTCAAGAAGAAGACTCTGTATGACATACGGAGACGGTGTTAATACCACACAGGTGGGTGGGCCATTTCCTCACATGATTCTTCATATACCAGCATCCTGTTCCTCTAGGTAATAAACACACATCTGAGTAACACATGACACACAAATTACATCAAATTAAAGAAAGGTACCATAAATCTGCATTGGAATTTTTAATGTTTCACTTGTGCAAAACTGAAATTTGTATTTAAAGGCACAGAAGGAAGAAAAGGCAGGTATCTGAGCATGAAGTCACAGGAAAAGGATGCTGGATAAAAACAAGACTGCTCCACTTTAGCTGAAGGAAAATAAAGCAGTGCTAAACTAGATTTTTATTTTTATTATATTTCCATATGAACACATCACTCAAGTATCAGCTGAGTGAAAGGCTTTATGGCCGGATACCAAAGGTACAGAGTGGATCCCACTTTGAAGTAAATGTCCAGAAGGTACACGTTATCGGTGAGTGGGTATGTTAGGCACAAATAAATTCTCATTTAGAGAGTAGTCAGACATACAGCTTTACAACTGGAAATCTTTCATGACTTTTGTTTTTAAAATAAACATCTGCCTATCAAGAACTATAATTTCAAAAATGGAACCAGGCCTAATTAAATAGTACTTATAACTTACTAATAAAAATTACAAAAATAAAAACTGAAACTTCTGTTCTTAAAAGATAGAAAACTATATTTTTTCCTGTAATATCATAAGAGAATGATCAGTATTTCACCTTTATGTATTTTCAAATGTCATTTCTTCTTTCCACATTCTGACACTTTTAATACCACAAAACTTGTACAATATGGCAATTTCTGCTAAGAAAAATAATTTACTATTTATTGGGGGGAAAAAAGAATGAGAAAAAGCTAGTTTGTCCCTAATGGGACAATACCCACCAAATGGGAAGAAATAAAAAAAAAAAAAATTGTCATTTTCTTAAAAGCAAAACCAAAATGCAATGATTTAAAACATCCCATACATAATTTCTAATTTCAAAGCACAGATTCCTGATCAGTGTACAGCAAGGAATAGACATTTGAAATTTGGTAGGACAATAGAGCATGTATCTAAAACTTCCATTTAAATAACATTAACTTTACCAATTATTCTTTTTCTTATTTAAAACACTGATTGGCCAGGTTAACTCATAACAGGATGAAGGTAAAAACAAACCCTAACTTAGGAATGAGCACAATGGTTCTTGACAACTGTTTTTGCCTTGCAAAAAGGACTCAGAGGCAGTGTTCCCTCCTTTAAACATATGATCCAAACACCTTATATGCATATTCCATACAAGTGTATAAATAAGATGAGTTGTGCATTTTCTTAAATAATTTTACAAACTGATGGTAAATCAGATGTCAAAGATAAAACTATGCCTTTAAAAACATTAAGCCTCAAAATTTTACAGTGTTTTAAGAAATGGATTATTAAAATCATTTTTGAAATGAGATATTAACTATATTTAAGTCTGGACTTTTCTGTACTTGATCTTCTTTAAAGAGAAAAGGTTTAAAAACGTCAAGAGCTGGAGCATGCTGCCAGGACAGAAATAATTAGAAACATCTTCAGTCATAGACCCTGAGCACCTCAATCTTGTTTTGTATTTTTCAAAGCTTGGAGTCTCTCTAGTAGTGGAGGATGAGAATAATGCCACATTGAAAACAACCAGTCAGAAACTGGGAATCCCAAGTTATCTTTGTTTAGTTTGATTAAAGCAGAATATAAGTCTTTAGCCTTCCCGAGTTTCTTGGCAAATGCATCAGCTTGAAACTCAAATCTGCGGCTGAGGACTGTGAGGCAAAAAGAAAGAACCTGAAAAAGAAAAGGAAAGTGTTTTAGCCACTGGGCCCCTTTGTTGTCACCGAAGGCTTCATGAGCTAAATCTGTAGCTGACTTAGGATACTAGAACTGGTAGGACAAACCAAACAGCACTGTGATTTAGGGAACTTAGGGTGAGGAATTATTATAAATTCAGCTTTCCTCCCCAAAGCAAACAGACTGGAAACAGGTGCATATCCACATGAATGTTATTCCAACTAAAAACTGACAGTTTTTGAGAATCTGCCATGCTTACTGAAATAGGCATCTTCTTCAGCAGGAAGGGGAAGCTCAGAGAGGTCAGACAACGTGCAAAAGACCACACAGCTGGAAGATGTAGTGCTCAGTGTCTTAGTGATTCCAAAGCCAATGCACCCAACGTTTCCAGAGTCAGACTTAAGTCATGGCAATCTGTAGTCAGATCTTTTTTCTTTTCTTTTCTTTTTTTTATGTTCTTGATCACTTACCCATCTTTTAAAAATACGCCACAACCTCCGACAACAATCTCAAAATTAATTTTTTTTGGAGGGGGTGCAGATTGGGAGGTCTCAAACCACAATCCTCTCAATCTTAGCCTCATAAGTAGCTAGGATTATAGGCATGAGCCACCAGTGCCTGGCATGAAAACTGAATTTGTTTAGAGACAAATTCTAAACTTTTTGCCTCAGCCTCCTGACTGAAAATTGAATTTTTTTTTAAGTGTTCTGAGCTATGACAGTATGGCCAGAATGAGTACATCATTTTGAAGAGGAAAACTTCACTTGAAAATGTAAATTCTGAGGGGAAAAGAAAAGTTTATGCATACTGAAATACTATGGGTTGAATGCCAATGTCTCTCTCTCTCCTTCCTTTTTTTTTTTTTTTTGCAGTGCTGAAGATCAAACCCCAAATCTTGCACATGCTAGGCAAATGTCCAAATACTGAGCTACAGCCTCAGTCCTCATGTCTATTTCTTAACTTCAAGTATTCTGACAAAAATTTTTTAAACGTTAAAAAAAAAATCTGTTTTTGGCTGGGTGCTGAGTGGCTCACGCCTGTAACCATAACTACTTTGGAGGCTGAGATTGGGAGGATCACAGTTCAAGGCCATCTCCAAAGACTCCATCTCCAAAATAACCAGAGCAAAATGGACTGGAGGTGTGGTCAAGTACTTGCTATGCAAGTGTGAAGCCTTGAGTTCAAATTCCAGTCCCACCAAAAAAGAAAAATCTGTTCTTTATTTGCCAGTAGCAAATAAAGGTTTCCAAATAAAGTCTAAGCATCCCTAATACCATCTATTTTGTCTGAAATTTCATTTCAAATTTTCAATATACTTTTTGGAATAGACAAACAACTGAGGCAGGTGTGGTGGTGGCACACCAGTTGTCCCTACTATTCAGGAGGCTGAGGTAGGAGGACGGTTTGAGCCCAGGAGTTTGAGACTAACCTAGGCAACATAGTGAGACCCCATCCCTCTCTCTCTTTTTTTTTTTTTTTTTGAGGGGGGGGGGGAGGACTGAACTCAGAGTCCTGTGCTTCTACCACCTGAGCCACTCCACTAGCTCCCCTGAGATCCCAGAGTAAAACTCATTAACTAGTTCTAATAATTCTCTCTCTCTCCCTTTGGTGATATTGAGGTTTGAACTTAAGGACTTATGCTTACTACTATGCAAGTGCTCTACTACTTAAGACATATCCCTCCAGCTCTGGTTCCAATAAATCTCAATCTTTACCTCTCCCAACTCTACTGCCACCTCTATTTTAAGTACCTAGGCAAACTGTTCTTTGATTTTTGTTGTAACACATAAATAGAAACAAAGCAGGTGCTAACTACTACCTATCTTCTTTGCTGTAGGTTTCTAAACTTGCTAACCAGGCAAGCACTCTATCACTTGATCCACTCCAGCAGCCCTTTAGTGTTAGTTATTTTTGAGATAGGGTTGCTTTATGCCCAGGCTGGCCTGTCCTGAACTGTGATACTCCCATCTGTGCTTCCCCGCATAACTGGGATGATAAAATGTGTACTACCATGTCCAGCCACTGGTTGAGACTGGGGGGGTCTTAAAAACCATTTGGCCCATTGGCCTCAAACTATCATCCTCCTGATCTCTACCTCCCGAGTAGCCAGGATTATAGTCTTGAGCTACTACGCCTGGCACCCAAATACTTCCTTTTTTTTTTTTTTTGGCATTACTGTACTTTGAACTCAGGGCCTCATGCTTGCTAGGTAAGCACTCTACCACTTAGCCACTCCAGCAGCCCTTTTTTGTGATGGGTTTTTTCAAGACAGGGTCTCTTGAAATATTTCCCCATGCTGGCTTCAAACCTCAATCCTCCTGATCTCTACTTCATGAGTAGCTAGGATTATGGACACAAGCCACCAGCACATGGCTTATATTGGGTATTTCTAAGATAGGGTCTCACTTTCATTTTGCTCAGGCTGGACTTCAATCTCGGTCCTTGTAATCTCTGCCTCCTGAGTAGCTAGGATAACAGATGTGACCCCAGGGGTTTGAACTTAGGGCCTCAGGCTGGCTAGGCAGGCACTCTACCACTGAGCCACTCTGCCAGATCCCAAACTCTTCTTAACAGGACAATTTTCCCATTTCCCCTAAGAAAGTGTTTTTGTCCTATTAGGTCTGTTTAAACTCTGACATAAGATCTTCAGTTTAAATACCTAGTCCCTTTGAAATAAATATCCTGGGCTCTCAAAGGTTTTTAAAAAGTTATTAATATTTCTGTAGATTAATCACATTTTAAATCATTCTAGTATCTCCTATTTATTGAAATGTTTTTTAAAATGAACTACTAAATATAAGGAAACAAGTAAAACAAAAAACTCTCTGAATAGTCTACATAGAGGCTACAAAGAAGTCAGTCACCAGCACCACTCCCTCCTGCCTTTGCTTAGGGAGTTCCCTCCTACTGAGTCAGAATCTAGCCACTTTACTTAACAGGCTGAACCACCTGATTTCCCACACTATGTCAGGATAAAGAAGAAAATTAAACACAGACTGCAATGAGAAGTTATACCGAGTCCCAACAATAAGGGAAGAAACAAGAAAATTAGTTAAGTAAAAAAATAAATAGCACAACTTCTAAAAAGCAGAACATTCTAAGGTCGTTTACTATATACAGCTAAATGTCCTTAAGGCATCTATGAATTGTGATAGAAGACAGAGTGATATCATTTAAAAAGTGCTCTGTAACTTCTGTTTTAAGCAGTAATAAACTGTATATGGTGTTTTATAAACATTTTCATTAAGAGTTCAAATAGCCAGGTACCAGTGGCTCACGTCTGTAATGCTAGCTACTCAGGAGGCATCAATCAGGAGGATCGAGGTTCAAAGCCAGCCCAGGCAAACAGTTCACCAGACCCAACTCAAAAATATCCATCATTAAAAAAAGGGCTGGTGGAGTGGTTCAAGTGGTAAGACCGCCTTCCTAGCAAGTGTGAGGGCCATGAGTTCAAACTCCAGTGTTGCCAAAAAAATAAATAAAAATAAAACATTTAGAATTTAAAGATAACAAACCTCAGTTATATGCAAAAACTTATTTAGCTTATGTGGACAATGATATACAACTCTCCATTTTTCCTTCCTGGTGTCCCTGACACACACACTGGTTTTTTGTTTTTGTTTTTTAACTTCTTTAGAGACAGAGTCTCACTATGTAGCCCAAGCTGACCTTGAATTTGTAATTCCTCTGCCTCAGCCTCCAGAATTACTGGGATTACAGGACATATGACTTTTTTAAGTGGAGAAATAAAGTTCTTTATCTTGCCTTAAAACCTCTACTCTACAACCTATCTCAAGAAAGAATTCTTCTGAATGGAAGTACCTCAAGATGTCTAATATTGTGGAGGATGGTGGTATACACCTGTAATCCCAGCATTTCTGAAGCTGAAATAGGAAAATCAAGAGTTTGAGGACAGCCTGGGCTATATATTCAGAGTCTATCTCAAACAAATACAAAAACAAAACAACAAGCCGGGTGCTGGTGGCTTATGCCTGTAATCCTAGCTACTGAGGAGACAGAGATCATCAGGAGGATCACGGTTTGAAGCCAGCCCCTGCAAACAGTTCATGAGACTTTATCTCGAAAAACTCTTCACAAAAATAGGGCTGGTGAAGTGGCTCAAGGTGAAGCCCCTGAGTTCAAGCTCTAGTACTGCAAAACAAACAAAACAAAACAACACAAAAAACCCCAAAACCCAACAACAACAAAAAGATCCTCAACATTATATCTTTGCTTAATTTGGGAAAGTCTTATCAAATATCATGAAATGTTGCCACTATCATATTTGTTACATAGTCTCAATAACCTAGGTCTTACCATAGGTATAGAAACCCTCTACTGAGCTATTACAGAGCAGATTCTGAAATTTTGCTTATAAAATACCCAGTTTTGACTTAGTGGGTGGAAGCCCAAGACTCTTTTGAGGCAGAATTAAAAGGAACATGTCATACAGCCTCCACTAATCTAGCTGTATATATACTCAATTACTATGTGTCCTGCTCCTCACACGTAGAAGACTTGCGCCCAAGCATGGGTGAATGCTGCCTAGGACAGGATATTCCAAGTGTCAGCCTTCATTTACTAACTCTCTCAGGTATTTCACTGCTAAAGTCTATCTACTTTTGTCCTCTAACAGTATGTAAACATTTATTTATTTGGGTTTGGATTTTTCTGCTACTTTCTTATACCGGCTATAGACTACAAGACTGTTTTATCTACTTGTTAAAACTGTAAGGTACAGAGCTGGTGAAGTGGCTCAAGTGTTAGAGAGCCTGTCTAGCAAGCGTGCGCCTGAGTTCAAACCCCAGTACTGTTATAAATAAAACACAACAACAAAAAACCCACCACCACAACAATAAAAACCTCAAAAAACTGTGCAGTATAGTTCCGTTGATTTTTGTTGTTTGTTTGCAGTACTGGGGTTTGAACTCACAGGCAGACAGGCACTCTACCACTTTGGGCTTTTCTACCACTTTTAGCCCTTTCTGTTTTAGTTATTTTTCAGGTTGGGTCTCAGATTTTTGCCCAGGCTAGCCTAGACCGTTATTCTCCTACATGCACCCTAAATGTAGCTAGGATTACAGGTACATACCACCATACCTGGTTTATTGGATGGGATAGGGTCTAGCTAACTTTTATTCCTGGCTGGCCTTGAACTCCACTCCTCCCAATCTCTGCCTTCTGAGTAGCTGAGATTATATGGTGCATGGCTGTTGATTTCTTTTTATACTACCCTAAAAGTTCCAGATTTGGCAAGGGCATTTGTGAGATAATATTAAAGATTATACATTACCTCATTGTAAGGTGAAAAAATAAACTGAAAGATGATCAATAGTCCAATTAGAGTGGGCTGGCTGTCATAAAAACCAAATGCAGCAAAAAGTTCCTTTCGACCAATTAATACAGCAAACAAGAAAAAACACAGGAAAGAATTCATCTAGAAAGGAGAAAAATTTTAGTTATTACAAGCTGGTATCATTGTGGGGATAAACAGTACCATAAAAGTATAATCGGAAATTATAGTGTGACTTTTAAGGATGGTGTTAGTGTGACCACAGATAAAATTATTTAGGCAGTTTTATAGCTTCTCTTTTATTTTCAAAAAGAAAGTAATATTTCTTCAAATGTTTAAACTGTATAGTTTTCTGCAGGGATAGGATTGAGTTGAGGCTTTTGTAACTGATGGTCTGAAGTGGCCAATTACAGTGGAACATTTTCTATTTGTACAAAGTTGAAAGGCTTTATTTTGTAAGAAGACAAGATACAAGGCCTCCCATCTGACCCTGATGTGAAGGCTCTAAAAACAACAGCCTTTCCTTGAATTCTCTTTAGGACTGCTGGAGCTGTACTGAATAATAAGGAAGATCAAAGGAAAAAAAAATCTATCTTTATCAATAAAAGAGAAAGGAAAAAAAAAAGAATCTGTATCAAAATATGATCCTTGGAATAAAGTTGAAGAACAAATATCATTCAATATTTTCTCTTAACAGACTAGGAACTTGGAGGCCACATATACCGTATTTAAGTGTCCTGCTCCAAACCATTTACTACATGACTCAAGAAGCTGTTGCATCCACCACAACAGGTGTTGGCGAGGACTCGGGGAAAAAGGAACCCTCTTACACTGTTGGTGGGAATGTAAACTAGTACAACCACTCTGGAAAAAAATTTGGAGGCTACTTAAAAAGCTGAACATTGATCTACCATTTGATCCAGCAATACCACTCTTGGGGATATACCCAAAAGACTGTGACACAGGTTACTCCAGAGGCGCCTGCACACCCATGTTTATTGCGGCACTATTCACAATAGCCAAGTTATGGGAACAGTCAAGATGCCCCACCACTGACGAATGGATTAAGAAAATGTGGTATCTATGCACAATGGAATTTTATGCAGCCATGAGGAAGAATGAAATGTTATCATTTGCTGGTAAATGGATGGAACTGGAGAACATCATTCTGAGTGAGGTTAGCCTGGCCCAAAAGACCAAAAATCATATGTTCTCCCTCATATGTGGACATTAGGTCAAGGGCAAACACAACAATGGGATTGGACTTTGAGCACATGATAAAAACGAGAGCACACAAGGGAGGGGTGAGGATAGGTAAGACACCTAAAAAATTAGCTAGCATTTGTTGCCCTTAACGCAGAGAAACTAAAGCAGATACCTTAAAAGCAACTGAGGCCAATAGGAAAAGGGGACCAGGAACTAGAGAAAAGGTTAGATCAAAAAGAATTAATCTAGAAGGTAACACACACGCACAGGAAATCAATGTGAGTCAATGCCCTGTATAGCTATCCTTATCTCAACCAGTAAAAACCCTTGTTCCTTCCTATTATAGCTTATACTCTCTCTACAACAAAATTAGAAATAAGGGCAAAATAGTTTCTGCTGGGTATTGAGGGGGTGGGGGGAAGAGGGAGGGGGTGGAGTAGGTGGTAAGGGAGGGGGTGGGGGCAGGGGGGAGAAATGATCCAAGCCTTGTATGCACATATGAATAATAAAAAAAAAAAAAAAAAAGAAGCTGTTGCGTAGAACATGGGGCTCAGAGTGTGAGAAGTGCTGCCCCAGGATGAAGGGCAAGCAGCTATGCCAGCCAGCCCTGATGACTCAGTGCATCCACTATGACAAACTCCAACAGACAACTCCCAGTGAAGATGCCCAAACTTAAGAATGTATGCTTCCATTTGTTCAAGCAACCACGGTCCTTTTGAAAATTAACGTTTGGTTTGCTACTGGTTCCTACTAGAGATTAAATTCCTGGTCATGGGATACTTGATCTGCTCCTCATGAGCTATGTAAAGCAGCCTACTGGGAAACTGGTATGCACAGGTATCTATCAGCAGGTGACAGTGCTGTATAGGCATGCAAATGAAGTGAGCAGTTTACAAGCAGGTTAGGAAGGCAGAAAGATATTACTGCAGGTGTTCTTACTCTAGTAAGACCCTTACTCATGGGGAATTCCCTATAGTCACTGTTTTTTGTTTTGTTTTTTTTTTTTGCAGTACTGGGGTTTGAACTCAGGACCCCTTGAGACACTCCACCAGCCCTTTTGTGACGAGTTTTTTTTTTCAAGAGAGGGTCTTGTAAACTGTTTGCCTACGCTGGCTTCGAACTGTGATCCTCCTGATCTCTGCCTCCTGAATAGCTATGATTATCGGTATGAGCCACCAGAACATGGCCCTTACAGTTATTTAATGGAGGAGGAGAACAAAATAAATTAGACCCTATTATACAAATAAGAATACAATATACTGGCACCAGATCAAAGTTGTCTGCTGTGGCATTACAGAGCAACTCCGGGTGGTTGTGGAAGGCAGTGGTACAGGGATATACTCTCAGTGAGGGAGCTTTAAGTAGTACATATCACTGGCCAGTCGATGGAGATGACAGGCATCTGGCCTGAGAATATATTTACTAATTTGTTGGTAGCGGGCAAATAATGGCTTGGCTGGGCTGGATGATTAGGGCTTTGGCACAAACTAGAGGATTGCTAACAAGGAGATCTGGAAAAATGGTATGTGGAAAACTTCGACTATTAGCCCAGAATATGATTATACTCTGGCCTAACATGAATATTACCAAAGAGCTCCATAGGTGGAGGGTGCTCTTGATGATCAGGTATAGATACCTGCTCTGTGGAGGTCAGCCAGTCTGTTCCCAGAGCCACTCCAGGACTTGGTCAAGGAGCTCATGACCAGTGGCCAAGGTAACAGAGATAGAGTCAATGCGTTAGTCAACAACACAGACCTTCCACCTGGCAAGAGTCAGGAGCCCAATCTGTCAGAAGATGCAATCTACCCCAGTTCTGAGGGACCAATCCACTATCTTACGGTAGGCTGAATCCACTGAACCCTTTCCTCCATGGAAGGGACAGTGATTTTCCTCATGGACTGAACATTTAATTTGAACTTGGATTTGAATTTATTTAATGTATACACCAAGCCAAGAAACTCATTTGCATACCTAAAGATGTCTGGCACTGGGAAAGTACCCCCACACCGAAACGAGGTTCACAAGTCTTCTCATGCAATCCATCCCCCAGAATTGGTCAGCCTTTCAGAAAGTTACAGAGACCCATTTATGACTCAGTTAAGTGTGGTGGTATATGCCTATAATCCCAGCACTCAGGAGGTGGAGGGAAGAGAATGTCAAGTTTGAGGCCAGTGTGGGCTACACAGTGATACACTGTGTGAAACAAGAACAAAACAAAAACAAAACAAACCTAAAAAGACTCAGTTAAGGCTACATATACATAGAACCAGTCAACAAGGTTTAGTGCAATTTCACCCAGGGAATGAAAACATGCTGGTTAAAGGTAGTAATAACCAGAGGAAGATGTTATTACTTTTTTTTTATGTTGTCTACATTTTCAGTGAATTTATCTTTATTTTTAAATGAGAAAAAAAAAAGTTTTTTTAAAAAAACAATTTAATGTCCAATTTCTCTAGTCTTACTGCTTTTGATCATCACAACTCTTACATCTGAGCAACTGTGGAGGTGATGCCAATGATGGTGACAGCAGTAAACATTTATATACTACTTACCATGTTCCAGGTATACTCCAAAGTCTTTACACACTTTATCCATTTAATTCTTAATTAGTCCTATGAAGTATTATCAATGGAGGGGGAGAGAAGTTAGAAACTTGCGTGAATTCACATAGGTAGTTAAGTTAGGAAGTCACAATGGGAAGCCAGAAGTCTGGTTTTTTTTTTTGTTGTTAAAGTTTAAGTTTTTCTGAGAGATGATTTCATTATGAGAAACTTGGACTCTTGATCTTCCTGCTTTAACCTCTTGAAAGCTCGGATTACAAGGGTGTGCCACCATGTCTAGCTTGACATCTGTCTTAATCTCTTTACTATATGACCTCTCATGCCTGCCATACTTTTAACTTCACTATTATGCTACAAAAATATAATTGTCACTCTAAACTTACCTGGCTAATAATGATATTTTTGACTGTGTGTCCCAACTTCCAGTGCCCCAATTCATGGCCTAGGACCGCAAGCACCTCCTCATTCTTACATCCTTGTTTCTTATTCTGAATCAAAAAATAAAAGGAAAATAAATGATCAACAATCTTTAAACAATTTGTACCTTTTAACCCAGTAATATTCTGTCATAGATTCTAATTTAAAGAAACAACCAGCATTCCATGAGACATACTGGGTTAAGCAGTGAAAACAGAATTATGAACAAGACAGACATTCCTTGACTTTGCTAAACTTCAGTCCTAAAACTGAAAAAATATAAATCCTTATCCATAAGACAATAGTTAAATCATAATAAAGTCATATGACAGTCATCTTATGTACTCATCAGAAATTTTATTTTCAAAGTTTATGTGTGGATATGGGAGACTGCTCATGATAGATATAATCAAATAACAATTATGCTGTACACTCATTAGAAATATTTTTATTTTTTTATTTTTTCCATCTTTATTTTTATTTTTATTTATTTATTTATTTTATTATTCATATGTGCATACAAGGCTTGGGTCATTTCTCCCCCTTGCCCCTACCCCCATAGAAATGTTTTTAAAGATTATATTCTGACTTGGTAAAATGGCTTACTGAGCTGGGCGCCAGTGGTTCAGGCCTGTAATCCTAACTACTGAGGAGGACTGAAGTTCAAAGTTAACCTGGGCAAATAGTTTGAGAGACCCTATTTCAAAAAAAATGCCCTTCACAAAAAAGGGCTGATAGAGTGGTTCAAGGTATAGGCCCTGAGTTCAAGCCCCAGTACCTCAAAAAATTAAAAAATAAATAAATAAATAAAAGGCTTACTGGGTAAAAATACCAGGAAACAAACTAACAGAAAATATAGCAAAATGTTAACAGTAATTATGTCTATATGGTAAACTAGAGTGTTGTTGAACTATTTTATATCTTTCCTATTTTCCAAATATATAAAAATAATCATACCTTGCTCATGACTTAAATATACCAGGAACTTCAATTTTAAAAATTGAGTTTTAAGGGCTGGGAATGTGGCTCAGTGGTAGCACATGTGCCTACCTTGGATTCCATCCCCAGAACAGCAAAGTTTAAACAAACAAAAAAAAAAAGAGTTTGAAGGTAAGATAAAGGAAAGAACATTCACATCTAATTTAGTCAAGTGATTTTTATTTATTTATTTATTTATTTATTTATTCATTCATTCATTCATTCATTCATTCAATTTATTTAGCTGTACTGGGGCTTAAATTCAGGGCCTCATGCTTTCTAGCAGGCACTCTACCCCTTGAGCCCTTCTGCCAGCCCTGTTTTTTATGTTGGGTATTTTCCTTTTTCTTGTGTGTTTTGGGTATTTTTGAGATACTATTTGCCTGGGCTGGCTTTGAACCCGATCTCTGCCTCTTAAGTAGCTAGCTAGCTAGGATTATAGGCATGAGCCACCAGTTCCTGGCAGTCAAGTGATTTTTTAAACTTTTTTTTCTTTTGGTGTGACTGGGGTTTGAACTTCATGCTTGCAAAGCAGGCACTATACTGTTAAGTAATTTTTAAAAAAAAATTACATAAACTCAAGGATGGGGAAACATTTGTGAAGCAGGAAAGCAGACAGACAAATGATAAAGACCAATGAAAGCTGAATCACAAGCCAGCAGGGGAAAAAAAATGGAGAACCAGCCCAATTTATGCTGCAGAGTCTTCGAAAGGCTTGGAAAGTACAACAGCAGGCACTTCTGAAACTGGGGGGAAAGAAGTGGTTAGAATAAGAACTAGGTAAGAACTCACTGAGAAAGGGTTAAAGCTTCAGATTCCCTTTCCAACTCCATGCCTATAGGCAAGTGCTACTCCCTTGTTGTGGGCAAAAAAGGAGCACCTTTAGCTGGTGGTCCTACATAGCTCAGGGTCAGAGTACATTAAAAGCATACCATGTTATCTGGTTACCAGCTGTTATCATAGGCTGACTAATGAGGACTCCCTCTCTCACCACATTTTTTTTTTGTCGGTGCTGAGATTTGAACTCAGGGCCTACACCTTGAGCCACTAAGCCAGCCCTTTTTTGTGATGAGTTTTTTCAAGACAGGGTCTCAAGAACTATTTGCTCAGGCTGGCTTTGAACCAAGATCCTCCTGATCTCTATCTCCTGAGTAGCTAGGATTACAGGCATGAGCCACTGGCACCTGGCTCTCACCCCATTTTTTTCCACACTCTTGGCTCCTAAAACATGATCATACAAGCAAAAGAGTGAAGAATATTCCCAGACTGGCAGAGTGCTTAAATGGTAGAGTGCCTGCCTAGCAAACATGATGCCCTGAGTTCAAACCCCAGTACCACCAAAAAAAAAAATAATAATTTAAATTTCCTGGGGACTCTGACCATACCACTAGGAAAGACCTAATATGAACATCAGGTATTTCCCTGCCAAGCACCACCCAGGATACTGCAGAGTGAAGCTCAAAATTGTATTACCTACAGGTTCTGAGCTTCTAATCAGTCTCATTCTTTTATTAAGGTTCAGAAAACCAAGGATTACCAGGTATATGAGTAAGCTGTTAAGATGGAAAATCAGATTCAGAAAAAAAAGCAAAATGGATTAAATAGAAATTGTGTAAGAGAATTTAGAGAGATAAGATACTGCACCTAGGGAAAAACAAGAGAATGCTGTAGAAATGGGAAATTCAGGGAAAATCTTTTTACAAATCTAAGCTTAATAGAAAAATTAGAAGATGACAAAGAGATCTCTTGGAAAACAGAACAAAGAAATTAAGAAATAGAAAACAGGAAAGGATAGGAACATTCCATATTAGAAACCAAACAGTCAAGCAATATGACCTCTGCAAAGAGAACAGAAAAAATGGAGAGGAGGAAATCACCAAAAATTCCAGAATGTTTCCTAGAACTGAAGAACCTAAATTTCCAGATTACAAGGATACAGTGGTTGAAAACAGACCCTCAAGAAGGCATATAAAATTTCATAATGCTGAGAAGAATGTGAGACTATTACAGAAAAGCAAAATATTTTCTAATGTCACTTTTTAGTTGACATACTAGGATCAGTTATCTAGCTTCAGATATTTCACCAGCAATGTTGGAATCAAGCAAGCAACGAAATGTGGAGGTGTGTGTGTGTCTCACACCTGTAATCCTAGCTACTCAGGAGGCAGAGAGCAGAAGGATCATGGTACGAAGCCAGCTCCGGGCAAATAGTTCTTGACACCTTATCTCGAAAATACCCAACACAAAATGGCTGTGGAATGGCTCAAGTGGCAGAGCTCCTGCCTAACAAGTGTGAGGGTCTAAGTTCAAACCCCAGTACAATAAAAATAATAAATAAAGCAAGCAATGGATGATGCCTTCATGATCCTAAAGGGAAAGCATTTCCAATCTAGGAATCTATAACCCAAAGAGGCAAACCAGTGTGGTAGAAAAATGGAGACATTTTGAAGGGATAAATTGAACTTACTATGCAATCTTTCTCAGGAAGGTACTAGAGAATGTTCTTTACCAATATGAAAGTGTAAATTAAGAAACAAAAAGTCAGGCAAAAGAGAACACAGGAAACCCAATACAGGAGAAAAATGAAAGCTATTTCTAGGCAATGGTAATGGGTAATGCCAGAATGACAACTATACAACAGATACAGAGGGAAACTCATCCCAACCTGAAAAATGTGACTCAAAAGATAGTCTGCAAGGGTTGTCATTACCAAGTTCCCTCTGCTACATCTTTTTAACCTGATGAAATACGTGGAAGATGTGTGACACCAAGAGAAGAAAAAGCCAAAATAGATGCCAGCCTAGGAAAGAGGCAAAAGGAGTATCAAGGATGACCACAAAGGAAAGTGTAATATGAGAGCTGTACAGGACTTCAGAGAAACTATGACACAGACCAAAAAAACACAAATAATGGAGATCTCTCCCAGGGTTTGAGAGGAATGAGGGGAATTAAAATTGATAGGGCTGATGATACAATTAACCTTGGAGAAAATTACTGAGATTCTGGAAGATCTGAGAAGAATCAGCCAAAACATTAATATAGATAGATAGATTTATTAATATATAACAAAATATATTAATATATTAATGTTTTGGCATATATGAGCAACAGGGAAAAAAAGCAGGCATGTCCAGGAATAAATAACATTGATAGGTACGCTGAATACTGATTAAACCAAGAATTGTAACAAGAATTCTCCCAAGTTGTTTTGGAAGAATTAGGGAAATGGGAAGCACAGCAGATGTTAGGACAAAAGAGCTAACTCCTCATCTACCATAACTGAGACTCAATAGTGTCAACAGATATGTACATTATTCAGAAATATGAAAATGTATAAACATCAGAAGCAGCTAACAGAGCTGAAATTTGTGGGGGAGAGAGGACTAAAGATGGAGGAACATAGGAAAGGAAGGAATAGGAAACTGCTAAATTTTATTCTAAGCTTTTTTGTACTCTGAAATTTTAAGCAGTATGTTTTTATTTAAAAATAAACTATGGGGCTGGGATGTAGCTCGGTGGTACAGCGCTTGCCTAGCATTCGTGAGGCCCTGGGTTCGATCCCAGCACCAAAAAAAAAGACAAAAAAAAATAAATAAATAGAAATAAACTGTGCTGGGCACCAGTGGTTCATGCCTGTAATCCTAGCTACTCAGGAGGCAGAGATCAGGAGGACTGCTGTTCAAAGCCAGCCAGGGCAAACAGTCTGCAAGACTCTACCTTGAAAAACCCATCACAGAAAAGGGGTGGTGGAGTGGCTCAAGGTGTAGACCCTGAGTTCAAACCCCAGTACTGCACACACACACACACACACACATACAAACTAATGTTAAAGTTTATTAAAACTTTCTTGTAAGTTTAGTGTAACATCTCAAATATTATATATAAAGATAATCACACTATGTGCATATGTATGTGTATACCACACATCTTTTTTGTGTTTTGTTTAGTGATTTTTTTGGTGTAAGCGGAGTTTGAATTTAGGGTTTCAGACTTGCAAAGCAGGTGCTCTAGCTTGAGCCACTCCTCCAGTGCATTTTGCTCTGGTTATTCTGGAGATGGGGTCTTGCAAATTATTTGCCTAGGCTAGCCTTGA